TGCGCTCCTGATGCTGCTCCTCTGGGGGTGAGTAAATGAGTAGAGTCGGAGTTTCTGTTAGGAGCAGGATCAACGTGCAGGCATTGCATGTACGCATTGCCCGTCTTTTCCGCTTGCACCTGTCATGGCGTCGTGTGTGCCCCTGTTTGCTCTCCACTGATCGCATGCTGGAAGAACTGCTGTGAGGCAAGCCGTGCCGCAAGGTCGCTTGTTCTCGCATGAACGAGCGTGAAAAGTCGAAGCTCTGGCAGATGGTCACGAAACACCATGCTTGCGTTCAGCGCATTTTGCATGGCCTTCTCCGTGTTTAAATGCCCCTGGTCTGCGCTTGAGGATTTGTTGCAGCACATCAGTCGCTCACTATCCTCGCCATGTGGTTGTTGTGCCTACTTGAGCATTGCGCAGCTGTACGTCTTGCAACGCAGCATCACCCGCACCACCACCTGAACTTGCAGCTCAAGGCTAAAAGACACTGTACCCCCTGCGCGCGCCGCCGTGCCTGGCGCTGCAGGCTCATCGCAGCAATCTTTGGGCTTAAAGGGGGTTTTGTTTACGGTGAGTGACTGGCAGTGACGTGTTACTTCTTGTGCTTTGAAATAGATGTACTTTTTATTCATTCTCGCTCAGGGCGCGAAAAAGCCCAGATGATTGGCATCTAGCTGTAAGGAATCTACATGTCGTATGAGTGTTGTACTTTTTATTAATTCTCGCTCAGGGCGCAAAAAAGCCCAGATGATTGGCATCTAGCTGTAAAGAATCTACATGTCGTATGACAGTCTGAAAGTGTCGCAACGGCAACCACTCAAACGCCGCCGCCGCCAAATGGCATCTCGGGGTCCTCCCCTACGTCCTCCTCCATGTGCCCCCCCCCCCCCTGGATTCTGCCATGTGTGTCATGACACGGCCAGAGTACGCCATGTGGAGCGCTGCCGACAGTGCTTTTACATGGGGATCTGATGGCCGCGACCTCACATGTATGTATCGATCTATACATGAATTACATACGCCTATGTAATTGCGCCACGCTCGCATCCCTGCTCTCAACGTGACATGCGAAGCGAACACTCGTTGGCAAGTTTGCCTGCAAGTAAGGCACGCGTTCAACCTTCTTGAAGAGCACGACTTGCACGACTGGTAGCTCTCTGCATACGAAAATGGCGCAAGTACGTACGCATTGCGTGTGGCAAATCGCTGGTGATATGTTTGCATCCCACATCTTTCGTAGGTATACATTTAGAAGTATTATAATCAAATGTACACCACATACACAAAGTACATGAACGTCCGCTGCCCACTCCACTGGTATCTCATAATGCTCGCTCCTGAGAGCGCTTTGCTTGCCACTGATTAGCCGAGGTAGAATCATGCATACATTAGGCAAAGTACCTCAGGGCTAGTTTTGTCAACGCAAGCAACGCTGATGTGTCTGCAGTGGGACAGCCCCAGCATTCCGTGTGTTGCGTCTTGTGTTTCTTCCGTTGCAACAATGCTGATCAAAGCATCATTGCTTGCTTTCAGGATGCCCCTGATGCACAAAGCCGGTGCGGCACTAATGCTGTAGTGTCAATGGCCTTTTCGCGCCTGAAGTTGGCAAAGCGCATGTTGCAGCTGTGCAGGCTCCGCAGCCCCCATACCTCGAAATACGTTTAAAAGCACCTAACATCTGTGCAATACGCGGTGTTGGTGACTTCTTTGCGCATCTGCAGCGCTGATTGGCAGCATCATCTTTTCACTGTATATCCTGTACCACACGTCGGTCATCATGCACAAGCTGCCGCCGGATGAGTACATCCTGGCGGTTATCATGCTCTACCTGGACTTCCTCAACCTCTTCCAGTTCATGTGAGTGCGCCGTTTCGCGAATCTGGTCATGCGCCCTACGCACGCGCTCAAAAGCAGTGGGCATAGTGAGCTGTGCGGTCAGATGCGGGCGTTTCCTCCTCTCTGAAGGCTGCGTTGCGAGCATTCTACTGTCCAAGGATGCAGCGGCGGAGTAGGTGCCGTGCTCCGTCCACAACTTTCCAATTTCATTCAGTTCATGTAGTAGTGCCCAGCCGATCTCTCTCAGTGTATGGGGTATGCTTCAGGGGCAGCGCCGCACAGTGGGACCAGCTACTCGGATGCAGATATGCATGCAGGGAGTTCCGCACATGGTCGTGGGCAAGCGCGCAGCAAAATGCTCAAGAGGACTTGTTCAGCGCGCGCCGCGCCGGCAAGTAACGTACAAGGGGTCCTGTACGAAAACTCTGCCACAAACTGAGCATTGCAGTGACCATCTTTAAGGACTCAGCAGCTAGACATGCTGTGTTCTGCGCCACATCTACCGTGCCCCTGTGCTCCATGAGTGTCCATGCCTGAAGTCAGCCAGGGACTAGGTTTCGGCTACATGCCTACAGGACTAAAGCATCCTGACAGCGCGCGTGCCATGGCCAGACATTCACCTGTTGAGCCTTGCACTTTGCAGTATGGTTTATGCACTTCGACGCATTCCTTCAGGTGCTACAATTGCGCCTCTGTGTGTCTGAAGCCATGACCTCTCACGCGACCGCCGCCGCTCGACGCCGTTTTGCCGCCGCAGACTCATGGCGGGCAGCAGCCGCTGATGCGCGTGCTGCCACTCTCTTGCTGCGCTGCGCGTCAACGCGGTTCTGCAAGCCTCACAAGGACAAGGCGCGGCGCGCACCCCCACAGGGGCCGCTGCTTCCACTGACACCAATTTTGCTAGAAAAAGGGCGAGCCTTTCTTTTTTTTCTATACAAAAGTGTGGCATGCTACATGCCGTAATGCGTGGCCAATTTCGCTGCCGCCAGGTGCGACGGTGTTGCCGAATGCGCGCCTTGCCTCGGTGGCGCACCGAAGGCTCTGCAGAGGCATCTGGTGTTTGCGCTGTGAGCGCGAGCACGCCACGCGCAAGGATTGTGGGGCCACGTGGCGGTGTGCTGGGTTGAGATTGAGTGCAAGTACCGTGGCACAACGGGGGGCTCGGGGGGGGCACATGCTTGGCTGGGTGATCAACGATCACTGCACATCAGGTCACGATAATGTACTGGTGCGCCGGCATTGATGCTGTGTGTCCAATGTCTGCTTGCTGCGGATGATGCCAAGCGCCCAGCCTGCAGTGCGCTTCGGATCTCTTTTTTAATCGTAGAGATAATCTAGCAGTAGATGCGCGAGGTCCGTTGGCGCTGCACAGCCCCGTGTCGTCCGCAGATGCATGCGTCCAACTGGGTGCCCAGATGCTTTGAGAATAAACTCTTCAAAAACACAATTACATGCATTTATAAATATTTGCACTTTAGAAAGAGCATCGACCGTGTGTTGGAGGATCGTGTCCACTTTAGGTGCGCGCACACCGAAGCTGCACAAGACGGGGAGGGGGGGGGGGCACAGTGCACCCGCCAAGTGGCACTGTGCCACTCCAATCCACAGTGCTCCGTTGCAAGATTACTGTACACTTTTGCCATTTTCCTGTGACATTTTGCAAGTTGCAATACACTGTGCAATAGAAGGTTGTGACCTGCTGCATGGCATCAGCCGTTTACGACGATCGGCACTGCTTCCAGACAACTCTTTTACTGCCGTGCGCACTGCACAGCGCCATCAGGTCGCATGTACATTCACACCTCTGCATGGCCTGCCGACTGTGACGTGATGATGTCAGCAGCGCATGCGCAGTGCCGCAGCCCGAAACAGCCCACCAACCGCCAGAACTGGCAGGTTCACAATGAGACTCCGCAGCTGTTCAGTTTGAGACCCAACTTATGTCAAATATTCGGATCCTCTCCTGCAGCATTTTCCTTCTCATGTTCTGGCACCTTCTGGCGTTTGCACTGCACTGCACTGCACGCGGTGCTCACGTTCCTGACACATGTTGAGCGCGAGGTCTGCTGAGCATCCGCCACACCGTCTCGCAGCAGGCGCAGCTCTCCATGGACTCATTCGTCGCCACACAGTGGAGCGACAGCTGCAGCAAGCTATGCACTTCGAAGTAGGTATTTTGGATGTACGCATCGCGATGCACGCTCAACGAGGTATGCATGTATTGTGGATGCACTACGATTGCGCACCCACTGTCAGTGCTCAACTGGTGCGCTCAACTCACGCGGAATCTTCCCTGCCTGCCCATGCCTGATATAGAACGGCACATTCATTTCAACGGTGGTGCGGGACGGCGGCGGTGGCAGGGCGCAGCTGCGGAGCGCTGCGGCGAGAATGCCACTGCTCCTCAATGCCGTGCGCTTGCTTCACCTCAAGCTGTCGCGCCTGATGTAGTCAGCCACCGCGGTACACGTGTCTCCCTCGTCGTCCTGTCGCGCTCGCGCACCGCTCGCCAAACTTTGTCCGGCTCGCGACAAAGCCTAGTAGTGTCCGGCTTGGGGAGGCCCCCAACGCCCGCTGCGAAGCAGCAGGCTTCCGGGGGGGTCACGGGGGTCACCTAGCATTTCAGGCTGAGTTTCAGGCCAGAGTTCCTTGGCCCCTGGTGGAGCGCCATGACGTAACCTGCGGTGCTCTGCGCATGGTCCCCGCGCGTTGCGGACGCTCCGCGGCTGCCGCCGCAGAGGCGCTGCCGTCATGAGCGCGGCGAGTCAACTTGAAGTGTGCTGCGGCGCCGCTAACACACACTGCCGCGCCGTGTGCGCACATGGAGCGCGCAGCACGTGTTTATAACTGTTAGTAGCAGTGTATGTAGATGCGGTACGAAAAGTGCATCGCCGTGTAAACTTGTAAAACCTGTAACTGGCGTGTGAAACTGAGTTGACTGGGAGTCATAAGTCAGGACATACACGTCGACAACATCACATCACCGCTGCTAGCGACTGCGGCAACGCTGTGCGGGTGCGACAACACGCCGCGCGTGCACGACATGTGCTACAGTGGTACAGAGACTGCCATCAATGCGTAGGCTTGATAAGTGTGATAACAGTGTCGCTGCCAGACTTGGGGCAACAGGGTCATGATGGTCTGTAGAAAAATGAAGACCTACCAGGGTATGGTGAACTTCACACTCACAGGAATTGAACCTGCGTCTCCAGCGCATGTCTGCGCTGGTGTGCTTCCATTGCACCACGGTGTGTGATGATGATACAAGCTAACGACATATTGCATGAGCTTGTCAGAGCTAGTCGGATTTACTACAGATGAAGAATGAGCTCTTGTCGTGTTTAGAGTAAACACATAGGTAAAGTCTCTCTTCGTGGTCCTGAACCGGTAAGGCTCAGTGCCGAGCCCCCGCACCACAACAAGGTGGAGACCGCTTTCGCGGGGGAACTACCTACACAGGCGAAACCGCCGTAACGCAGCACGCCAAGCAATAAGAAGCCTGCACACCTCGAATCCCGGCACAATCTGCAAGACTTGCTTGCAGCCACCTCGCTCACAAGCAAGCAGATTGGTCTGAGATTCGCATGTACGCAGCCTTACTGCTGCTCGACGTACCACGGCCAGACAAAGAACATGCTGCTGAACACAGGCACGGTCAAGGAAGAGAGGGGGGGCACTCCCCCATCTCCTCCAGAGAGCAGCGTACCCATCGGCGGCTGAGTACCCTCCTGCGCTTATTACTGATTTAAAGCGCCAACCTTAATTTGGTGCCAGCCGGACGCGATGCCTGGGCCCAAACTTACGTTGGTGACCTCCAAGCATGCGCCCGCCCTAGACCAAAGTGCGCCTACGCCACCAGGGACGGCCTGGGCACCGCAGTTAATGACTGCATTATTGCCCAAAGAAAGCAGAAATGCTTCCTTGCGATCAGGCTGCCGGGCTGCTTTTCGCCGCCAGCAGTGATGTGCCGGTGCCTCGCAGCGCCAGCCAGGCACTCACAGACTGCCATCGGCCTCGTTGCAGGACGCGGGATGCAAGATGAGGCTCCTGGTGGTCGCTGGCGTTCGTCGTGGAGTGAGCAAGCACACCTCGATGCATTACTCGATTTCATACTCGCTCCCCCGCTCACCCGTCGAATGAACGTTACTGTTCCTGAAACCGCGAAATCGAAAAATTTGAAATGGTGCTGATCTGTGGCGGAGGTTCTATGTTTGGATTCAGTTTTTTAGAGCGCAGCTGCAGGCTGCGGCCTTGTGTTTGGAACTCATATGGCTGACAAGCGTCAGAACATGCAACAGGTCGCACTTGGCCACAAGGCGTGTGCACGCGTGTGTTTGGTCGCAAAAATCTGATACGAAAATGCTCGGTGGTAGTATGTGAAGATGTGTGATGTGGGATGAGTGAGATGCTATGTTGAAGCTGACTTTTGGTGAGCAGTTGAGAAACAGAGAGAGGTAGAGAGAGAGAGACAAGTTAGGGATCACCTGTGTTAATGTTGATGGTCCTCACAGCTAGCTGCACAGTCCAATGCTTGGGTGGGGGGCTTCCCTCAGTCTTGCTCCAGCAATTCCAGGAGAGAAGTGTGACACTCTCAATCTCTGGCCAGCTAGGGCCTAGGGTTAGAACTACAAATGTGAAGTTGCATACAAACACCTAGAGACATCATATAGGAAGCCCTGGTACCTAGAACTCTCTGATGGCATGTCACCCTTTCAGCCAGGTGCACATACCCAAAGCCGTAACACAAAAAGTGCGCACGTGGCGCAACTTAACCCTGTTGCATGTCACCTACTCCTGGCCCAGATTGTACAAACAGATAGTTGAAACAATGGTGCGTTGCTCGATTACTCACTCACTCGCCAGACGTTACATTCCGAAACCGGAAAACGAAAACTTTGAATCCTCGCCAAATACCGTGCAATCTGCTGATCTGTGGCATCTGTTCAGAATTTTGACCGCAGTATTTCGCATCGCAACTGAAGAGTGTGGCCTTGTGTTTATTTATCATATGGCAAGCTCAGGCCATGCAACAAGTCGCACTCGGCCGCACAAGCTGTGTGGCCACGTGTGTGAGGTCTCGAAAGGGCGCACATGGCGTACCGTACTCTAACCCTTTCTTGTCACCTACCCCTAGCTCATATTGTACTCGCACATAGTTGTTGGGAAACCGTCGTTGACAACAACCTTGCCATCCACCACGTGGGCTTTTAGCGCAGTAAGCGAGAACTAATGAATGCACATACTCATGAAAACGAATCAAAAGATCGCAGAGCTCTAGGTGACAAGAAATGGTTAGCCGCAAGTGCCTTCCACCAGTAACCTTGGTCGCCGCTGCTGCAGCATTTGGCCACGAGTCAAATTAATAGTTGAAGTATGAATGCTGTGCATCACGGCTCGACACTGCTGTTCTTTACATCGCAGCAGCAACATTGCTGATGCTGTCTGAAATGGTTTCCCCTTTTTCGGATGGGACGAGATGACATCCAAGTCATCTGTGCGAACAGGAGGGATCCTCCTGCAGTTGCCGTGTTCCCACTCGCGTCCCATCAAACAGAGTATCTTATGCTTCACAATATGGCGACCATGTGTTGCGCATACGCCTACAGCCTTGCAACAAAGCTCTGTTCACGCGGTAACCCTACGTATCGGTTATGGCTGGCCTGTTTGCAGTCCGCTTCCCACAATGCTGGCTCGCCATGCATGATTGCCAGGGCCAGTAGCGATTGCATACCTCCGCAACACTGAATATGCACACAGCACTGCATATGCACAATCCTTATGACAAGCAGGCTCCTGCGCACTGCACCGTCAACAACACAGGGCAAAGAAGAGCGCGCTCGTGCGCTGCACAGAGTCTAGAAAAAATAACATGTATTTAGACACCGCGGCTTTTGCCATACATATGTACATCTCACTCACCACATCACTTGCGCGCATGACGCGGGCGCGCGCTGGAAAAGCGGCGCCCTCTCACAAAACTGCTGTTACTGCTGCTCCTTTTGCTTGCAGTGCTGGTACTGGGCCTGATAAAGCTCCTGTCTGCTGCCGAGCACCGTCTCAATCCGCAAGGCAGCGGCTGGAGCGCGGGTGTCGGCCGCAGTGACTTGCCACAAAAAATTGCAATTCGAGTTGAAAGATATGCCAGCAGTGCAAGCGCTTGGGCTGCAATGCTCCCGCAGAATCTGTTTCTCATCTGTTTCTTGGTCCTCCCCCCCCCCCTCCTGCCCCACGCCCCTGCCCCCCCCTTTGAACACCGTGCTGCCATGACTGCCGCCGGCGCGAGCTCTTACGTCTTCCAGCCCTTGTCGCGCTGGTGGGACATGTACGAAACGTAGTCGCCCCAGATCTGCGCCGATGCGAAAGCATACATGGAGCAGAGCGGAGGTCGTCAGGTAGGTGATTTGCGTGCCGCATGAAGGCGGATGTGGTGCGACAGGAGTGCGCGCATCTTCGACTATACAGGGTACAAAGGCTGTGTAGATCGAGCGGCACAGCAGAGCCCGCGCACCCCCTCACGCGCTTGCAGCAGCGGGCGGAAGCACCTCATGAGGTGCGGAAGTGCTGTGGCAGATGCGCCGGTGAACGCTGGCAGCAGCAGATTTGCTCTCAGATCTGATCATAATGTTGATTGTGATTGCTTGGATCAGGTCTGGTCATGATCTTGATCATGCTTGCTTGGAGGCAAATTTTGAGTGCAGTGGCTCCTGCGCTGGCGTCGCAAAGAGTGATCAATGAAAAACAGGCGCCCTCAAGCAGCGCCCATGCTCTCAACACAACCCACTCGCCCCAAACTGGCACGCCTGCTGTCATCATGTCTCATCACTTCTGTCGTTCCTCACATCCGCGGATGCCATTCAAAGCGGGAGAAAACTAGCTGTCTGCTGTTTTGAAAAACATCAAATCACGCGAGATTGACAATTCTGCCTGTTCTTTTGTAGCTTGCAACAGTGAAATTGGCACGAGTGCGATGCTGTGATAGTCTTAGTGATCACTATTGCTTTATCTGAACTTGAATGCGGCCACGACTGACGGTTTTGTTGTGCACTGCCACAGCAGCAGCACTATCGTTTAAAAAAGTCAAAAGAATCAGGCTGTGAAAACGAAAAGTGACCCTGGTGCTGTTTGCGCTTTGGGTGTTCAAGCAAGGCTTTCACATAGACTTGTATAATTCTCAATTGTAAGAGCAGGTGCGCCTTGTCAAAACACTCGCGATGCAGGCAGAGCAACTGAGCTCTTGCATTATCCGCTCGTTTACGATGATCACCGATTAATTGATTTTTTGACGACAACCGTTGGTGAACGTGATGACTGTAACCTGTCGAGTTGATTTTTCTGGCCTTCAGATATTATATATAACACGCGTGCAGTGAGCACCAACAGCAAGAATGGCGACGAGAGCGGAAAAAAATGAGCGTACGAGTAACATCAGAATCAACCCAGCCACCGCATCATTCCACGTGCCAGTTGACGTAATGACACTCTAGCGTTGCAGCGAGCTGGCGCAGCCAGGCATTCTGTGCCTTGCTACTTAGAAGTGTCTCAATGCTGCTGACCATTCGTGAATGGCTGACGCGACGACTGCCAGAAACATGGACTCACCGCATTGTAGTCAACTGATGTGTCCAGTGCCTCCGTTGCGGGCTTGGACGCTACAGGACCCCCCAGTACATGCTGCTGACCGCCAGCTCCTTCCTCCGCCGCAGCAGCGGTAGCAGGCTCCGCAGCAGCGGGGCTCCCTTGTGTCGACGAAAGAGCTGGAGCTCCTGGGAGAGGTGTGGCGGACAAGTACCGCACCGGTGCCAGCTGCTGCAGTGACGAAGGCGCGCCGGATGGCCGCAACCGACTTGCTGCTGCCCTGAGCATCGTGTCTCTGCCTCGCTGTTCGTGTGTGTGCACTCAAAAATAAAAACTCAATGACTTTTTTTTTCACCCCGCGCGGATGCTCGCCGCGCCGCGAGTGAGACGCTGAGGTGTTGTCTCCTTTTTTGCAGTTGCAAAGGTGACGTGTGACCGATGCTAATGCAAACTGCTTGTCTGATGACGAGGCGGCAGGGAGCGTGCCAACATTACATTATAGAAGCCATGTAATGAAGAAGCCGATCGACCGTTACCAGCGGTTGACTGAGAGCGGCGCAATGTGTTGGTCATGAATGCCTACTACAAGAGGTCAAAGTGGTGTCAACGAGCTGAACATACCTACAGCAGACACTCATGACATGACGCCGTGCTGATGGCATGCATGACGATGCACGC